TACCTTTATGGCAGGAGGATGGGGGGAGTAATCCACAGAATGAATGAAATGGGAAGAACCAGTCAACATCAGCCTTACGGGATGTAAATATTTAAGAAAACAGCCACTGACACTTGTGCCACCATTCAATGTACATTTAAAGATGCATCACTGACATAGGTAATACGGTCCTTTAAAATATTTTATCTTTTACTTTATTTAAAAGTCCTAAATCCCTGCATGTGATTAGTGGTACCTCGAAATATTCAGGAGTTTCTGATGTACCTTTAGAGCAGAACAGCAGAAAGGTATATTCTATTTATTGATACATAACACACAAATCCTGCTGCAAGCATGGATTGTAATAGCTAGGCTTAAGCCTACAAGATTTGTACTGAGTTTTGGGGGTTTTCCCCCCGCCTTTTTTCAAACAACTTGTTTCATTTGCTGGGCAGGACAAGAACGCTTTTTTCTTCAGGAGATGCATTTCTTGATGGACTACAACACAATTACATCAACTAAACCCCAGCTATTTCTTGTAATGCATTTTTATCAAGCCAGTATTTGGACATACACCTGAATCATACAGAAAATTTTGTAACTGTCACTGCACTTTACATACTGCTGGTCAAAAGGGAATTCTCAAGAGTTGAGGGTTAAAAAAAATTAAAATCTACCATTGCTACTTTCTAGCAGCATCACAGGGAAATGGGAAAATTAGGCAACCAGTTTTAGATCCATATACTGGTGTTTTTCAGTTCTACATTCATAGTTCTTTTCATATGCTTAAAACTTGGTCCAAGTTAACAGAATTTGCCAAATATTTCCCTGGTCAGCCCAGTAGTCAACTGTGAAACTAAACTTCAGTGAGGACAGCTCACACATCACACCTGTTCTCCAGCCCGATTTTTGTGGGCTGCAGTCCCTCCAAGATGAGCATCCATCCATCCATCCAATAGGATGCTCATTTTAGAGGTTTGCATCTGAAAATTCAGAGACGTGAAAACCAGCTGTTATGTAAACTTGGGAGGGTGGCAAAAAAGACAGCTACTTCTTTGTACATTTATACCTGGCTGTCAGCTACGTAAGTGGTTAAGTGATACAAGTCCGCAAAAATCCATGATAATCCGCACATGCTGCATAGTTTGTACGTGATCTCATGCCTCCCTAGACACAACCATATCCCACTTTGTTTCAAACCTAGAGTACATCCCCTTCCCATTCTGGGGTTGTTCAGCCTGGGGAAAGTGAAAAAGTATGTATCTGCACACATACGCAAGACCAAAATTTTTTTTTTAAATGCAGGTCTTTAAAGTGAAGTGTATCACTTTAAACTCTTTACTGTTCTTGCAAGCATCACAACAAGGAACTAGCTTGGGGAAAAGAGCCTTTTTATTTATATTCTTCATTTGAAAGAACACTTTGTATAGATGCTTGCACCGTCTTTCCCTTCAGTTTTAAGATCTACAGAAAACCAGAGAGAAATCAGACTGTCAAATAAGTTTTAAAGTGCAACAGAGTTAGAAGAACTGTAAGAAATACTCAATGTTACAGTCAGTATTTTATCACTGTCACAGTTTTGAGCTGATAAAGCACTAAGTCCTCAGACTAAATGAACTGGCATGGTAGCTGTACACCAAGGAAGATGAGTTTTGTGTGTAATTTCAAAAACCCACCTCCGTGTCACACAGCTAAGAGCTTTAGTACTGAACCTGTTCCACCGTCTTTGCATTTTACTAATGAGTTTACGATAGGAATGAACAAGAATGCCCACAAACATGCCCAGGTGAGCAGCCCCTCTGCGAGGTCAGTGATTTCACCTACCAGTTCCTGGAGGAAACCCCATGTAAAATAATTGTACCTGGCCCATTCTAGCAAGCAGTTAATTATAATAGAAAACCATGATAAACAAAGCAACAAAGGAAACAGCAAGTGCACTACTGTTAAGTGACCACTAAATGTAACGGGACAAAAAGTTGAAATATCTGGGCAGAAAGTAGATGTGCAAGCTCAATTCTGGCTGTACAACACACAGAAAAAAACCCCAAATTTCAAGCTCCAAAACCCCAGACCTCTCACCAACACTGAATTCGTATAAAAATGGGAGGGTGAATTAAAAAAAAAAAAAAAAAAAAAAAAAAAAAAGAGGCCAAGGAAGAAATGGCTCCTATACAATCCACTTCAGGACACTTATGTTTTATTAGTCAACATGTAACCTAACAGGATTATATGACTTAACAGCCCAAAGCAGCTAGCTCAGCTGCATAGTAGCGCACAGTATTCTACACAAGAACCATGTTAGCCAGATCAAACTGTAAAATATTAATATAGGTTCAGAAGGAACAACACCTTATCAACATCCTATTATCTAAGTTTGATTTACAAAAAGTTTTGATCCTGTATGCTCTGATAACAGGATATACTAAGTATACATAAGTATAAGATGTACCACAAAACTTAAGCATGTATTGGGCAGAAACTCCAAAACAAGTATATTCACAGTTATTTTCACCAAGATTTATTTACATTACACTTAAAACTTTGAAAATAATGATCCCCCAGAAGGAGGAGAAATACTGCCTATCTATCAAAGCAGAGACTAACAAAAACAATTCACAGAACCATCCTGTTCATGCCCAAAGACTTACCAAAATCCATAAATAAATGATGTTGGCTTCTAAACCCTAGTTCCAAGTATTTTAGCTAAAGCTCTAGCTGGATTTAGCTGAATTTTATTTAATAGATATTTTAGAGAAACAGACTTCAAACCGTACACTTAATTCTCCACGACACAAAAGCACGTGCACACATCTGTAATCAATGGCTTTACAAAACAGACTCTAAACAGAACAGCATTCCCAAATGGCATCTCTATCCCCCTTCATGTGAAACCAGAAAGATTTGGCTTTATAATGGGGGCGATCACCTTCGCTACCTTGGGAAGACCGATAACACGTAACTCACTGAGAGAGCTAAAGGCTAGCAGGTAAAAAGAAAAAGTAACAGGTTAAATAAGCCTTCTACAACTAACTGCTGTAGATTTCTGCGTTACTGAGGGACAGTGAACCCCCACCAGATCAGAGCTCTCTCAGCTTTCTTTGACGTAAGCCAGAACAGAGCAAAAACTGAACACAATCCAAGCCTGGAAAAAAGGGGGGGGAGGCGGGAGAAGTCCAGCTTATAGCTAACATACTTTGAATCAAGTCTTTAAACCATAGGTCTGTCTTCATAAACGGTGAATAAGCCTCCAGCAGTAGGAGTGATGGACAAATCCACCAAAACTAGGGGATAAAAAAGCAAAATAATAATAATAATAATAAAATAATTTTTTAAAAAAAGGAGCTCCAAAAGCAGAGACCTACCTTCCCGCAGGGCCCTGCCCAAGAAGAAGGCATATTCCCAGCGCCGCGCTCCCTGCCCGGGGGGGCTGCAGGGCACCCCCGGCCCCGCTCCCGCCCGGGCGGGCGCTGCCGTGCGCGGGGCGG